AAGGCAGTCGCTTAACCAACTGAGCCACCCAGGTGCCCGAGACTGGCTTTTTTAAATTCCATACCATTTCCTTGCAGTTCATCCAAGTTGTGTACATCAAAAGGTCATTCCTTTTCACTGCTGAGTAGTATTCCAAGGTATAAATGTACCAGTTTGTTTAACCATTTAACTGTTGAAGGACATTTGGGTAGTTTCTAGCTTTTTTGGCTATTATGAATAAAGCAGCTAGGAATATATGTTACAAGTTTCTGCATGAAAATAAGTTTAATTTCTCTGGGGTAAACACTTGAGAGCACAATTGCTGGGTTGTATGGTAAGCCCATTTTAAAATGAACCACAAATCTGTTTACAGAGTGACTGTACCATTTACATTTCTGCAGTGGATGAGTGATCCAGTTTCTCCACATCCTCACCAGCATTTGATATTTTTCATTTTAGCCATTCCAATATGTGCATAGTCACATCTCATATGGTCTTAATTTGCATTTCTCTAGTGATTAATGAAGTTGAACATCTTTCATAGGCTTACTTGTCATCTGGATGCCCTCTTCTATGAAATGTCTGTGAATATCTTTTGCTCATTTCCTAACTAGACTGTTCATTTTTTTAATATTGAATTTTGAGAGTTCTTTATATATTCTAGACCAAATCCTTTGTTGGATATGTGATCTGCAAAATATTTTCTCCCAGTCTGTAATTTGTCTTTTCTTCCTCTTAACAGAGTCTTTCATAGAGCAAAGTATTTTAATTTTGATGTCTTCCAGTTTACCAATGATGAAACTGTTCTGTGTTTTGATATCGATATATCAATATCCTGGTGACATGTGCCATAATTTTACCATGTGCTACCCCTGGGGAAACGGGGTAAAAGGCACACAGGATCTCTATGTTATTTCTTAAACCCATGTAAATCTGCAATTATCTCAAAATAAAAAGTTTAAAGAATAAATCAAATGTCCAATTATAAATTCATTATTAACTGGTTCCAGTTTATCTCAGTTTGAGGAATCACCTCAATCTAGATTCTTCCTCTAGACATACAGGTTAGAAACCTCAGGGTCATCCTTCACTACCTCTCTTTCTCCTTCTCCCTGAGTAAATAATTTTTTTTAATTTTTAAAAAGATTTTATTTATTTCAGAGAGAGCACGAGCAAGGAGAGGGGCAGAGGGAGAAGCAGACTCCCTGCTGAGCAGGGAGCCCGATGCAAGACTCGATCCCAGGACCCCCGAGATCATGACCTGAGCCCAAGTCAGACACTTAACCAGCTGAACCATTTAACCAGCTGAGCTTAACCAGCGCCCCCACCCCTTGGCTACATATTTTCAACCCAGCACTCTTACTGCTCAGTGTCTGCATGTGCTACTGTTAGTTTCCCTTCATCTGAGAATGTCTTCATTTCCCTTTTGTTCCTTAAGGGTAATTTCAATACATACAGAATTCAAGATTGACGGTTCTTTGCTTTCAGCACTCTATAAATGTTGCGTGACTTCTGTCTGCCTCCATAGTTTCCTTTATAGGCAATACTAAAATAGAACTTGAGGGCGCCTGGGTGGCTCAGTTGGTTAAGCGACTGCCTTCGGCTCAGGTCATGATCC